CAAATTGCTCCAAATGAGACACAGTTTGTGGTTTTACTGAAGCAGAGGAAATTAACACTTTGCTTGTATTATAATGTTGTGTGAGACAACATCAAAGCAGACTGCAACAAAAGAGCGCTCTTACTCTTCTTCTTTGGCTGTCCACACCCATTTAATCAAACTGTGACCTTGGAACTGGGTTTCATGTGTCTCCTTTGGCAACACTGAATTAGAACATTCTTTCTTTTTAGGTCTGGTAAAGATTGATGTTTGACAAAAAAAAAATATCTTTGGTGATGGAAATTGGCCAGTTCAGTTCAGTAAAACACATCCAACACCTCAAAAACTGGCTCAGTTTGTATCAGATCAATACAGTGAAACATGTGAACATCATGTTCTAATAAAGACTAATTCCTTCACTATAATGCCTGAAGTTGTTGGTCTGACCAGCTGGGGAATTGTAAGATGCCTGTGTTAAGTAAAGTTCTCCATAGCTGTCTACTAGAAATAAATGTATGTGCTTTGTGCCAACTAAACATAATGAAGCCGCACGACTGCACACGCTGAGGTGGTAAAGCTATTTCTACAAAGAATTAATGGCAGCTTCTAAGATTTCCTGAAAGGCTGCTTCTCATGTGACATGTTTCATTAAAAAGGAATCATTTTCAAAAGAAGTAAGGCTCTTATCATTATTCACCCAGACACATGTATTTATTACAAACCTAAATCTTCCTTCTTTAAATGTTAAATAAATAAGCAATGAAGAGCAGGTAAACAGGCCATGTCTTAAACCTCAGGTGTCCATCCATTTCTCTCACTTCCTGATCACCACGGTGCTCATCCTCTTGTTCCTCTCACTCTACCCATGTTACTATTCTCCTTTTAGCTGACAAGTCACTACTGAGAATCTGAGCTCTCTTACCCTAAATAAACTTGCATTGTCATAAAGAAAATGGAAAATTAGGTCAAGTGGTCAGCGCTGTCACCTCACCTCACAGTAAGAAGGTTCTACGTTTGAGCCCCAGCCGGCCCAGGGCCTTTATGTGTGGAGTCTGCATGTTCTCCCTGTCCCTGCGTGGGTTCTCCCCAGGTACTCCAGCTTCCTCCCACAGTCCAAAGCATGCAGCTTAGGTTGACTGGCGACTCTAATTTGCCCCTAGGAGTGAGTTTGGTTGTTTGTCTACATGTCAGCCCTGTGACAGACTGGTGATCTGTCCAAGGTGGACCACGCCTCTCGCCCAGTGTCAGCTGGAATTGGCTCCAGCCCAAACCGTGACCCTCGTTAAGATAATGGATGGATGATTTGCCTTGCAACACACTTCAGATCTGACCAAGTAACCATCTGTATTTTGGTACAGTTAGGCCTCCGTTTGCTAGTGTCCTCCTTGGTGTTTTCCTCTGTCCTTCCTCCTCTTTCTTCTTCACTGTTGCTCCTGCTGCAGTGCCCTCATATGCTTCATCCTCTGTGTCTTTCTCCATTTGTACTCACCTTGTTCCTCCTGTGCACCCAGCTATTAGTGCTGTCATCCCCCTCCACTTCTACATCCATCTGGCACACCGCTCCTTCTCCCCCACCACAGACGTCATCCTTGATAACCTGCTGCCAACACTACCATAAGCTCTTTCTCCATTACTCCTCTTCTTCCTCTCATTTTCCATCAGTGCTCTGCTGTCCTGTCCCTTCCTGCTCTCTGCTGCTGATATGAATTTCTCCTGTTGTTCTCCTCCCCTCTTCCTTTTACTTTCTAACTTCACCTCTGCGTGGCCCTTACATGCCTTCTCAGGTTACATCTGTCATTGCTAATTAAAGTGACAGAAGAGAAGACTCTAGTTGTCATGTGGAAAGATTAGTTTTACAACATGCAAACCGAGAAACAGTGCACATGTGAGCTGAGTCACAGCTAAATATATTGTTCAGATAAGCTTTGTTGTTCTGTAGATTTATTCCACATAAGCTTCAGCGTTTTAGTGTTCATTGAGACGCTGCCGGGCCTGGGCAACAGGTCTGTCTTATGTTAATGTAAACTGTATTTTTCCACTGAGTGTGCACTACAAGTTGAAATAATGAGTCAATCTTTGTTATTTGTTTGTTAATAAGGTTAGGTTTATTTCATGTTATACCACTTTGTACTATTGTTCTGAAAACCTGCAAAACCAGCTTCCCGGGAACTAAACCTCCCTTGTGCCATACGTTCTCCTCTCTTCCTTTCTTGTGACTCCCTGCTGTTCAACCCAGTTCTCCATGTCCTCTCCTCTTCTGTGATCCCATTCCTACATTTCATTTTTTCTTTCTCCTACTCCTCTAATAACCATCTCTTCTTCCTCCTCCCCTCCACTATCCATGCTTTGTTTCAGCTCACCTGTTCTCTAATCCAGTATCCCTTCTTCTTTCACTGCCATGATAATTAGTTCTCCAGAGAAGCTTACTGGTTGTGTGTTACGGCTCGTGTTGTGGAAGTATGTGGAAGTGTCTGTATGCGTGTGGGGCCCTTTCACTGTGTGTGGATGTACGGTCCAGTGGGTGATCTCTGCACTCATCAGCATGCGAAAACGAGCTGGTCTGTGGAGGGCTGGAGGGGGCTTATGAAGATAACATACCCCAGTCTGATGCGCTCAGATCTGGGTGAGCAGCGCTGGCTGATGTAAAGACAGGAACAAAAGAAAGAGCTCAGTCTGTGGACTTGCTGATCCTCCACGTCTGTCCTCTGAGACCCCCCCTCAGAGCCACGTGTCCCTGAGGCGGCAGTGAAGCCCATCCCGTCCAGACACAAGGCAGTGGATAAAAGTAGCCCAGCCCACCTATGCTGTTGTGCCCTGGCGTCTTTCTTTGGGTTGACTCATCCATGACATTCACTCCAGCGTTGCCCTCTCCTGCTTGCCAACTTAGGCTCAATGCAGGCCAGAATAAACACATCTGTGTGTGTGTGTTTGTACTATCTGAGGATACATCACTGTGTGAGAAGTGTGTGGGTGTGTGCGCTGTGGAATGTGTTGACAAGGCTTCAGATTCTGCATTATTTTTGGACTATATCTTCTGTTTCTACCACGGCACTTCGTAATGCAGTTTTTACACTTTTTGTTTCACTCCACAACCTAAAAATACCTTTGCCTCCTGGTTTGCTTATCTTGTCTGTCCATTCTCTGCACTTCGTCTGGGCTGAAACCTTATGCACATGGAGGCAGAGGGATCCTGGCTGCTTCTTTCAGGAACACCGTGTTCCTTCCTGTCCCACTTCCCAACAATCCTCTGTCAAATCTCTTAAGGAATACTACAGTTTATTACAATGTGTGTTTTCTTTTCACAGCTTGTTCATTTCTACAGTGATACAGAATATTATGGCTGTACTTTTAGTGATAACTGCTGATGCTGCATCTGCCTCAACTGATTTCGAGACAGGATGCATCATGACCACTCTGGTTCAGCTCAGCAGGTGACTGAAGCTTTCCAAAACCAACAATCTGACCTTCACATAAGTTTGACTGGCCAGCTATGCAGAGGTGAGGAACAAGTCAGGTTTGACCTTCCCTCTCTAGATCTTTTTAATTTCTTAATGCATCTGTTTCTGTCACTATACATGTGAACAAATGAGTGAAACCCTACAGATGCCTTTCAGGAGAAACACTCTTTGACCTGTCCTGTCTGAAATGTTTACCTGAACAACTTTTGATAAAAGTATAGCACCAAATGCAGAGACGCTTTATAGCTCCTTTTCAGTCTTTCCATTTGTCACAGACTTCACTTCATACTTCTACATAATAGCAACAAATACGGTTTCCCCATTCAACAATTAAAATGCAGCACTCCCCAGAAAAACCGTTCGCCCTGCACTCCGATCCTTCAAAGTTATAATATTGATGTGAACAAGCAGTGAGCACGGAGATGTACTCGTATCAAATGAACAACTACCAGGATTTTCCACTAACACCTTGAGGGCAGAGCAACAGTAGTAAAGCATTTACACACAAAATGAGGCAGAATGATTGAGATGCTGAGTGCGCAGCAGGTGCACGTTGTTGTGCGCGTGTTTACCGACCTGTGACGGAGGAGTCGTTGCTGCTCTTTTCGCTGTGGCAGTCCTCCTGTCCATCTGCGTTCTGCTGCGTGTGCTGCAGACTCAGTTTATGACAGACCTCAAACGCCTGGCCGACCGTCCGAACAATACGCATGGCCTGACTCTGGATGAGTGGAGAGAGAAAGATAAAGACACAAAAACAGCTGTGATGCTCAGAAAACAATTTGTACCACTTCTGTGTTGCCATCATTACTGAGCGGTGTTCTTAAATCAAAGATTTATCATTTGATTCAGTATTGTGATGCCTTTTTTTTTTATTTGCTCTTGACTAAGTAGGAGTCTCTGCATGTGGTGCTCTTTTCATTGATTTCCTGCAGTTCCTGCTCTTGTTGCTCCAAACAAATCTTTCACTTCCCATGTTCCTGGGGATTTTGTCCAGGAACTATTGAAGTCCAGAGGCAATGAGCCTTTTTAAGTAGTGTCAGATGCAGCCTGGACCCAGATTTACCCCAGAAATGTTTGGATTTTTCTATCAAACAGACATAACAGACCAGAAGAGCAGTTTGCACTTCCTACATGTTGTTAACAGAGTCAGTCACTAATTCAGTGTCAGAAGGACTGTGTCACCTGATGGTACTGCACATGGAGGGCTGTCTGTGTTTCCTGTTCATACTCAGCAGATTATCACAAAATTTGTTTTTATTTTCCTCTAGACCCTTTAACCTCAGCTGCATCAGCTCAAATGTGTGTGCTTCGCTCCACCCTTACTGTTTCCTCCCTGCTCTGAAAAAGCAGGTCAAGTGAAAACAACTTAGTTGACTTCTGTCTGGCTTGTCTCAGTGACGAGGTGCAGAGGCAGAAACCATTTCATTCTGACGCACTGAGGCCTGGCCTCTGAGCGCCACTCATCCTCAGCTGAATGAGCAGAACAGATGCAGCGTGGCTTAAAGGTCAAAGGAGAATTAAGGAGGAGAATCATTTTCTGAATGAAAAAATCCTTTCTTGACCTGGTTACGAGTTCTCACACTCAAAGTGTTAACAGCATCACAACATTTTATGACCTCAGGCTTAGTATCAAATAAGAAAATATAATTTCCAGCTGCATCTGGGAGTTTAAGTACATTACAAACTGAGCCTAGTTTTGGCAACATCCCAGATCCTGGGCTTTGGCCTCAACCCAATGAGGTTTTTGGTTCCGAGTCAGAAATCTCTACACACATTAACCTTGTGTAGATCGGTGCTGTTTGGCTGCAGTCCTGGAGATCTTACAGGGTAATTTATTATTATTATGTTATTTTTAAATTAAAACATGCTACTTCAGCTTTATTTATTGCTGATGTTGCTCCTATAGTAAACAACCTGCAGCTGCCACTATCAGACACTTCATGTCAAGCCAAACTGCCTAAGTGCACCATGACCTTCTGACCTTACACAACCAAGAGCAAAAGCTGCTGTACTCCCAACAATAAGCTGCCTACAGTAGCCTCCACTCTGTGTCTTTAGTCACCTCTCCAAAAGTCACCAGCAGCAAAAAAAACAAACAAACATAAAAAATGCAACTGTGATGGCCAGAATCCATGGGAATCCAAGCCCATATGATTTAATCTAATACGGAGTAGAGAAGATGAGAAAAGTCAGTGGTGTGATTATCCACTCACACTGTTGCAGGTAGCAATCCTTCTATTCTTTACTCTGGTCTCTCTTTGTTTTCTCCCTCCTCAAACCCAGTGTTTAGTTTTCCCATGCTGTGCAGTTCTCTCCATCCATCAGTCGCTGCCTCCTCTCTCCCTCCTCCTCCTCCATGAACCCTCTATTCATCCCTCTTCATCCCATGCTGGTCCTTTGCCTGACAGTAAACACATGTGTTTTCCTTTGAAGATGCTTCCAGAAGCAGTCGTACAGAGGATGAGAGCAGATGCCGCTGTTATTGTGCACAGCGAGCGCACCAAAGGCTCAAGCTCCCCTGACTCATATAGTGACTGATTGGAAAGCGCACAATAAAACACAGTGCTGTGCACAGAGTGTCTCTTTTTCCCTTTGCTCCTTTGTGTGTACCTGATTCTCTTTGTCTCGAGTTTGTCCCTTTAAAGTTTGGTTTAATCATAATCAAAAAGCTCCAAACTGACCTTTTCAATAACCGTAAAGCACATAATTACACACCTGTCAATTTGATGGAAGACATGTACAGAGAACCTGTTTAACTGCATCCATCTCAGCCACACTTTTCATCAGTGTTGTGGCCAGTTTTCTGGATCTGGCTCAGGAAATACAAGAGCTGCAATTGGCTCCAACTAGGAAAACACCAATCACTGACCACAAAACCAGACTCATTTGATATTACTGAAAGAACCTGAGAAGTGGTCTGCAATTACAATAACAATAGCCTTTTACTTCTGCCGATTGTATTTGGGCTTCAAAAATAATAAAAGTGCTTATTTTCTGCAATTATCCAAAAGCCTACAGAAAAATCCCACTGGCCTTTTGTTGAAGGAAGCAGGGTTGCACTTTTGTGTTGGCCTACAAGAGAACTTGCTCCCTACAGCACTCTATACAATAGAAATTCGGCTTTTCCCGTTTAGGGGTCGCCACAGCGAATCGTCACACTGACGACTCGCATGTTGATATTTGGCACATGTTTTTATGCCAGATGCCCTTCCTGATGCAACCCTGACTCGAACCCGGGCTGCAGTGGTGAGAACGCTGTGCCTTAACCACTAGCCTACCAGGGACAGCTCACAGCACTCTATACAATACAAAGTGACAATAGGAAAGTTTTAAAAAAGAGGTTACATTTTCATATTTTAACATTAGTATGCAGGCATTGAGGAGTAATCGAGGCCTCCGGTATAACAAGTTGAACCTTGGCACTTTGGGTCCAAAACTACAGCAGGCAGCTCTATTGCAGTCTTTAATCTTTGGTACAATGAGCAGCAGAGAATCTCTGCACTACAAAGACACAAGGGGTTTTTCCATTACAGGAAACTACTGAAACATGTTGCACTGAGTAAAGCTTGCCACGCCCACTTTGGAGGTGTGTTCTGGGAGCTAAATTTTGGCACCCCCTTAGGAGGTAGTACTAAAATCAAGTACCAGGAGCACGAGGGTGGGGGGCATGCACGCAAGGCTGTCGCCACGATTGGTTAAATGTCCGCATCTTCACACCTCTAGCGTTAGCACCATAGAGCTGACTGTGCATATGAGGGGGGAGCAGCCCCTCCCTCCTCCAAACAGAGACCGACAGAGAAAAAATACAATAGAAAAACAAAGCAGGACGGTCCACGTCATTCCCGGAGCCTACTCTTTGTGATGGTTAAGGAATTCACGAGTCTACAGAAATGAAATGGGAGGCAGAGACATGCCATGACAGCTGTAAAATCCCATAGTTCATCTGCTTTCCCCCTCTGTTTTATGTTTTATAAGTTTTGATATCTTAAGTTGGACATCTGCCACTATCTCTGTCTAGCTCTCTCCCTCCTCATGACTTTCATCTCTGACAGTTCAACCACGTAAATGTGCCCTCTCTGTTTCCCAGTCTCTCTCTGTATCCAGCTGCTAGGTGCCAGCCAGATCCCTGCAGCAGCTTACCCTCTTTCAGTGGCTATGGGATAGGGCCTAGTCAAATGTGAGCTGCATTATTTATCCTAGATTAGCCACAGAGGTTCAGTGGTGCTTTCGCTGCTCTTGTGAAAGTCTTGGTATAAGCAAAAACCAGAGACAAAAGGGAGAATAATGCAATCTAAGAAAAAGCAGGGGAGTTACATCTTATAAAAGCTTTTCCTGCATCTCTCCCCCGTGTTGATGAGCTCATTTATTTGTCTTCTCTCTTTTTTCCTATGTGCAATGCTACCTCTTATTAACTGTTGAATCCAATGAAATGTAGAACAATTTGGAAGATTTACTCAGAGAGCTGCACCAGTGACTCCCTGATCACCAGCTAACTACTCTAATCATTAGGGTACAGTCTGGCCTGATGTTCATCAAACACTGATTGCCTTGAGGTAATTAGTCGGGTAGTAGAGAGCACTGCAGGCAAAAATAATCAGACCAAAAATAATTACTAATCAGTGGCCAGGTCTGTGTGTGACTGTCAGCCTGATCAAATGAATTCATGATGACTCAGGGGCTCCTCTGAACGCTAGCTTGACTGCCAGACAGCGTACAAGGCAAGCGTACATCATACAAACTAACACACACACTACAGCTCCAATGTTGGCATTAAATGGTTGGTGAGATTCTTAGACTTTAGGGTAGTTTCACATTTAAACTGTTTGACTAAGGCAAACGTCTCACATGATCAACACATTAAGAAGCTCAGCACAATTTGTTAAATTATGGTTTCATAGTAAGACTAATACACTATTCATACAGCAGACCAGCATATGATACAGGGCTCCTGAATATATGTTGGGACCATATTCATACTGCATGAAATGTTTGATTTGATTTGATTTGATTTATTCTTTCAAGCATGTAAAGACTGTTGATATGACAACACACATAATTTTACACATATCCAACAAATGCTAATCCAATATCAAATTGCTTATACCTAGTACATGCTTGAATGGAGTAGGAAGAAGTCAGACTTATCCAGTCCTACCCCATGACATCATCTTACCATCATTGGTTTGCAAGCAGTAAATAATTCTCTTCTACACCACACAAGTAATATACTAAAAAATTATAAC